TCAGTGATCGTTTTTGAAAGTTTGAAATTTTAGTGACCGTTTTGACATTTTAAGACAAGTTCAGTGACCGTTTGTGAAATTAATCCATTATTTTTCATGTTTTCAGTTGCTTCTTTATGATACATATGTGTTTCATTATATGAAGAAAATATATCTCGTTTACATTTTACTAGAAAAAATTTTAGTGGGAAAAAGAGTACATAATACTTTTTAATACTTATTCATTAAAACATTGTCAGGAAAAAATCTAGTGAAACAAAAACTTTGATCAAGAAAAAAGAGTACACTGCTTATTTGCCCTCATAGTCGTAACATCATTTGACATCTCTAAAAAAGCATTCCAATATTGCTTTCCAATTTTCTCAAATATTGCAATAGATAATGTCTTTGTGAATGGGTCTACTAATTAAGGAGATGAAAATAATGAGAATTAAGGCACCGTTTGATAGGTATGGAATTTCAAGGAAAATGGAATTGAAATTCCATCTTTTCAATTTTTTGTTGTTTGATTGGCAAAATATAGAATGGAATTGATTTTCCGTCTTGGCTTGCTACATCAACCAGTTCCACCAAATTGTGGAATTGAAATTCCACCTTCTAATGTCTTCTTCTTCTTTTTTTTATAAATTTTGCAATTTAAACAAATTATAAGAATTATTGTAATAAATTCCATCCTTTTAAGTGACACTTCTCATGTAAAATAAAGCCAAACGAAGACGATAATTTTCATGTAAAACAAAGCAAAACGAATATTAAAAAACACTTTTATATCAATATTTTTCACGTGAAAAATTATACCAATAAAACACAATAAATTGACAATTCTTAGGAAAACAATTTCCAGATAATTCAATTCCTTAAAACTTCTTTTTTTTCCACCCGAATTATATCTTTGCAATCAAATACCTAAATGAAAAATAGTTGGAACATAGGAATGAGAATGAGCAAAGATTGTGAACTTTTATTGTAATTAAAATGTGATGCATCAAACAGAAGCTGTGATGTGAATATAATTGTCATCATTAAACTTTGATTAAAGAGCTACAAAGTAAAACATTGAAAGAAATAGCGGAAAAAATAATAGGCTGTGGACCTACTTGTTACTTTTCCAATAATCAAATACCTATCTCTAATTTTCCCTCCAATCACCCAAACTTCCAAATCCCCTTCCTCGGCGTCAATTGAAGTTTAAGAAGTATAATGTGAAAGAAAATAAAAACAAATTAGAATTAAAATCTTATTGTCCCAATTTGTCACCTCAAACTGTAGTGAGAACCCTAGAAAACGGAGTGGGGAAAAAAGGAAAAGGGAAAGGGAAAGGGAAAGGAAGGGGGATGGAGTAAGAAAAGGGAAAATTGCAGCAACAATTTCTAATATTTTCAATTTTTGTAGATTTTACATTAACATTCAATTTGTACCAACGACAGTTCTTAATCTTTCAGAACTTTGCAGCTGAAGTCTAAATGGAAAGAAACCATCCAATTGATCATTAGTTGATCAAAAAAATTGATTTTGACCAAATTTAATAAGGACAAAATGGTAATTTAGTCAAACCCCATATTATTTAAAAATAAATAAATAAAAGATAAAACTCAGAAAAAAATGGAAAAAAAAAAAAGGTTTTTTCCTTCACTTCGCCCTATGCTCGGGAACTACCCGCCCCCACAGCCCCGCACTTGAAAATCAACCACCAAGATTGTGACCTAACTGTATCACTGCCTCCAGCACCATTGTCAATGTCAGCCATGTTTTTGGTTGGCCAAATTTCACGAAATCGTCACCATAAATTTTAGATTCTGTAGGATCACCGAGCTTCGCCATTTTCCCTATTTCCAATTTCTTCATTACCTAAAAAAAATTTCAAGTTAAATTCATGAAAATATCAATTCCTTTGTAGTCCAATCTTCTTGGAACAACTTGAAAATTGAAACACAATGTCAGGACTAAATATCCAGTTTAAGGATAAAGATTCGACATCATATCACAAACCCATGTTCCATTTTTATCAGAGAACTCAAAGAATTCAATTTTATGTTTCGATCTATTATTAAATTTTATCAAAGGTATATTTGCCTATTTCACATGGTTTTTCCATGTAGTGATTTTCATCACCAAGCACAAAAGCCAATGCCCCCGGACTCCAAATCTCCACACCCATTGATTTTGAGCAACTTCAATTCAAAGATAAGGGAGCGCAATTTCTAATTTTGAGCAATTTCCTTAGATTTCAATCATTCAGAGGTGAGAGAATGCAATTTCCTTAGATTTCAACAATCTCCACACCCATTTCCTATACTAGTGTTTATTGACAGCATGTGCATCATTGCCCCAATTTTAAATGGTCCCCGACATTTAAAAAAAAATTAATATTACATATAAATTCAAAACTTTTCTTTAATTCTTAATTACACATTCTCCTTCAATCTACTAATCAAAATGCATTATTTCCCGGGCATACAAAGTTCTTGTTTGAGCCCCATTTTTTTGAAAAAATACATTTTTAACCAGTATTTTGATATCATTTCAACCATAAATTCTTCAATAAAATAATATTACACGAAAATTTAAAATTTTTTCTTATTTTTTAACCACACATTTTACATTATTACACTATTCAAAAGTGCAATTTTTTTTGATAAAAATGAGGTCAAACAAGGGCTAAGTGAATTTATAGACGCTTAAAATAATTTCTCACAAGTAAATTCATCCCTCAAAAATCAAGATTCTTTGTTCCGTTTTTCCATCAAAACTCCAGCCCCAAATAAACAAATCATAGCCTGAATAAACACAAGAAAACAATAATAATGGCAGTAAGAGCTCCAATAACATGGATAAGCATGACTTCTTCTTCTACGGTGAATACCTCTTCTTCGTCTTGCAATAGAGGAGTGATTATCGTGAAGGCACAAGTTTTAGGACCATCTTTCTTTGGTAATGGAGGTAATTTTTGTCAATACTACTTTTTTTTGCCGTATTGGTTTGGTTTTCGCTGTTAAGTATGCAATAAGAACAGAACCTTTTCATTTTTCGCCATGTACAATAACGAGTCTGTCAATCTGCAATCCTGATGCTTAAGATGTGGGGAATTGGTAATTCCACATAAGTGTTCTCCTTTTTAAGCACAAAGTTCTACCTGGCTGTATTATTTTTACTCTAAAACGTGGCTTCGATGTTGCTTAGATTGTTTACTTGCAAAGGTTATTTCTTTTATGGTAATTGAATCTTCGTTTACATGAAGGTTGAGTTTTTAATGTAATGTAGGAGCGTAGTAACATAGTGTGAATTTGTTATGACAGTAGGGATGTTGTTGCAGTGATATGAAATAGTTTACTGCTGATATTGTCCATGGATTGATGATATTTGATGAGTGGGATAGAGATTTGAGACTTAAAACAGAATCGAATTTTCTTGCTTTATTTGAGAGCTAATTGAAAGGGAAACTGAATTGCTTAATTTTACACATTAGATCTCCCATGTTCTTTTCTCATCAGTGCAAACCTAATTATTTGTCCAGTTGATGCATTAGACCAATGAGACAAACTGAATTAGGTATAATTGTAGTATTAACAACTTCGTGTTCGCTGGGTTATGATTCAACCTGACATAGATACGATACTGGGAGGAGACTTATAGACGAATACTTAAAAAAGTATAAATGAGTCAAAATGAAAGCCTGCTTTTAGGTTCTGCTTGAGAGCTCTAGCTGATATGACAATTTTTTTCTAGTTTAAGGTGAGAGTAGCTATCCCTTGCTTGTAATGTCAAATCAACCTCATTGCGGACCAAATCCTTAATATTTGCCTGCCATGTCTGCGGACATGAGAGAGCGTCCACAGATTAGTTTTGGAGGAACTCTATTATCATGGTAGTGACGGTTGTTTAATACTTTTATATATCTGAATACCCAAGACGATTTTTGGTTCCCGTTCCCTATGCTGGCCTTGAAGCTGCAAGGAGAAAGTGGTGGGGATGTTTATGTAATCTGGAATATTACATGCTGACCTAGAAAGGAAGAGGACCTAGAATGGCTTCTGAGGATGACCCAGATAAGTTAAAAGAACAAGACAGTGCACTGATGAGACTGATAAATTCATTGGTCAATCTACTGGGGAAGTTCTCAAATTTTCCCTGTAAGCATTTAAAGCACGCCGAGAAATTATGACTTGAGAACAAAATAGCATCATTGTTAAACTGCCAATAATGTTATGCGAGATCTTTGGAGTACACATGACCAAAAACCTGCTCAAACCAATCAAAACTAGAGTGAATGAAAAGAGATGCACAGTAAATTATGTGTCCTAGGCCACCTAGAAGCTCGAATTTGAAAACATTTGCATTGAGAAAATTCATCGCCATAATGTATTGGTTTATTTGGGGCTTGGAATGAACTGAAGTGAACTTTCTGACACTAACATGTAAGGTATTGTATTTACGTCATTTTAAGGTTGTCAGAAACCATGCTCTCACATATCTATTCTTATTGGTGATAAAATAAAAGCTCTATATGCAAGTATGATAATGGCAATAGACTTCACAATCATAGTTTAAATTGTTCCATGAACTTTAAATGTCAAGTCAAAATGTGTTTATCTATGTATTCCTCAATAGTCTGGAGTTGAAAAGATGGTCCATGTACCTGACTCCTCATAATTATGGGATAAATTTTGTTGATTTGAGAAGTTAGGTTGATGGGTTCATTCGCCTAACTAATAAATCAATTATTATACCCCAATTCTTATTAGTGTCGAAGTGTGCTGAAAGTTTATATGTTTGCATATTGGACTGCTTAGTTTCCTTTCTTGATAGGCTTAGATGCTTCTTTATGGACTATATTTGAAATACATTCTCCATTTGTTGCTATCATTTTTGTTCTTAATTTTTGCTTCTATATTTATGTTAAATGCTTAAACTAAAATTAATTTATCTCTTTATCAGTGGGGACTTCAAAAGTTTCAGGAATACAGCTATCTTATTCAAGTAGATCCAGATGTAATAGTCATGGTGGGGGTGCCGTTGGTGCTCGGATGAACCTTTTTGATCGATTTGCTAGAGTTGTCAAGGTCGTTTGGGTGTTCTTACAATTTTTTGCAATGACTGTTGACTTCAGTCAGATATATTTGAAATGTTATTGACTCCACTTCATCTGTTTTAAGTGTAGTCATATGCAAATGCTGTAATAAGCTCTTTTGAAGACCCAGAGAAAATTTTGGAACAATCTGTGATTGAGATGAACGATGATTTGATTAAGATGCGTCAAGCTACAGCGCAGGTATGCCCCCTTGTGAATTCTTATTTTTCCCTTTTCCTTTTCGTTTAGGGTAAAAACTGATTCTTTTATGTGCTTAACCAAGTTTACACTTTCTCTCTGCTTTTTTATTTTATTTATTAAAATTTTTTTTCCCTTTATTGGAATGAGAAATATTGAATCTAGAAGTTTGCATATAAGAGTTAATTTATTAGGGGAAATGAAGTGAAAATTTTCAGCAGTTTTCTTTCTTGTAGGTTTTGGCTTCACAGAAGCAATTGGAGAACAGATATAAAGCTGCACAACAAGCTTCTGAAGAGTGGTAAGTGCCCAGAAATACTTCATTGAGCTTTTCTTTTATTTTTTATTTTTATTTTTATAAAGAAGCCACATTTTTATCCTTCAATGTGATCATAGGTATCGTAAAGCACAACTTGCTCTTGGAAAAGGTGAAGAGGATCTTGCTCGTGAAGCTCTTAAACGTAGAAAATCTTATGCGGTAAGGACCTTTGAGAAATAAATAAAAGAAAACATTTGCCTCAATGGAAATTCTGAAATGAAGTGGACTAACTGTCCTTATTTCTCAGCAGAGTTCAATGGAGAAAAAAGAAATTAATGTAGCTGACTCCATATAATTTGTGATGAAAGGCTTTATTCTATTTTTTCTTTTCTTTTGTATTTGTATTTATATTTGTATAGTTGTATGACTTGGAACGAGGGGATCCTTATGCAGTACTGAATACAATTTTACTTACAAATAGATGAATAATCTTATTTCATTCATTTTGAGACAGATAGTACAAAACTATGTGAGATTCTCATCTGTTCTAAAAAAATATTAAGGCACGATAAAGTACCTGCAAAAGAATACCAAATATAGATCGATAAATTTTCTATAGACAGTTCATGTTTAAGAGAACCCTTTACGAAGTATAGATGCCAAACTTTCATGAGTATAGCTAGTTAAGTTCAATTTTGGTTGATGAGGGGTTTCCTTTTTGAAATAAATATTGTTACCCTTTGGCTTGATATTATGGGTAAAGCTACCTTTATCAGTAGGCAAATTTCTTTGGGACCCAAGAATTCTGCAATGGTTGATTCACTAATATTTTGTCTTTTCAACTTAGCAACATGGTTGAAGGAGATCTAATAAGATGACTGGAGCACGGTTGAGTAATTAATATGCTCTATTTTGAGTCTGACCTCTCCCTTCATTTCTTTATTGCTTTTTGCAACTCAATAATACATTTTTCACAAATTTACAGGACAATTCAAATGCCTTGAAGGCTCAGCTTGATCAGCAGAAGAGTGTAGTTGATAACCTTGTCTCAAATACACGGGTTTGTTGCTTCCACAATATTCTCTTATATTAGTTCTTTTCTTCAAGAAAAGAGGAGATAGAATTTAGTATTAGTCATGCTACATGTATATATGATAGTACGACTAAATTTGGGGTTTCATCTTAAAAGTTCAACCTTATTAAGAGGAGTGGCCAAAATCCTTATACATTGGTCTATGTTTTCATTTTTAATCGATGTGAGATTTTTATCCCTTAACATATTCCGTGAGATGGTGGCCATTTGAGTAAATCAATCTTGAAATCCGTATGTTCTTTTTTGAGTTTTATTGGATTAAATTGCTAGTTGAAGTTCAATGGACTTTGATACCATATTAAAATTTGAGATTTCATCTTAAAAGATCGGTCTTATTAAGAGGAGTATCCCGAACCTTTATAAATTTATGCATGTTTTCATCTTTAATCGATTTGGGATTTTTATTCTTTAACAAGTATGTGTGGCCTAGAAGTGGAATTGAGTTCTTGAAACAAGAATAAAGTTAAACCAACTCTAAAATTTGTAGAAAATAATTTTATTATAATGAAATCATCAATTGAAAAGCGTAAGAACCTTTGTTTATATAGGCAAAATAATCCTCTTATTTTACCGATACAAGGAAATTAAGATAAAATCTAAAAGGGAAGAAAACTTCAATCCTAAAAAAGAAACGAAATTCGGAGCTAAAGAAGAAATAAAATTCTATTACAACGACAAATAATTTCCTGTCCTATCTGTGATAGAATTGTACTACATCAATCTCTCCTAATTGAAAAAAACTCGTCCTCGAGTTTAGTTGAAAAGGAGAAAAGTAATCAACAAGGATAAATCTTTGCATCACAACGTGAGAATTCAAACCTAATTTGAACTCGAGGAAAATCTGTAGTCACTTATTGCAATGTTCTGGACTCGTTGAAGCAACCAACATTTGCAACAGTCAAAATATGCAAATTTTTATCGGCAGTATCTTCAAATCTATCCGTCATTTGTTCTAGATTCTAGATCAATGCTTGTAATTTTGCAATCCTCTGATCGTCGTCGCGAGGATGCATGTGACAACCATAATGGCCATTAGCCAAGTGTATAACCTAGCTCTGATACCAATTTTAGTATGTAAGTGAAATTGAGTTCTCGAAACAAGAATAAAGTTGAACAAATTCGAAACTTTGTAGAGAATAATTATATTGTAATGAATTTGTCAATTGAAAAGTGTACGAAGCCTATATTTATATACCCAAAACAATTTCCTTTTTTTATCAATACAAGGAAATTAAATTAAAATCCTAAAATGAAAGAAAACTAAAATATTTAAAAGGAAACGAAATCTTAATCTAAACAAAAAATAAAATCTGATTCAACAAGAAATTATTCCTCTCCTGTCTCTGATAGAATTGTCCTACATCAATGTGTGTGTATATGTTAATCGTCTAATGAATGTTGCTCGTGTAGCAACAGTAATTATGTTGCCCAAATTATTTTCATGTTACTTTTCCAAATTTTTTTATGATTTAAAATTAATCAACAGTAGAAAGTTTTTGCTAATTATTTATAGACCTATATATTATCATTTGGCAGCTTCTAGAAAGCAAAATACAGGAAGCAAAGTCCAAAAAAGATACTCTAAAAGCACGTGCTCAGTCTGCTAAGTATGTTCTCTACCTTATTTGTTAGTTAATTCACATTTTCATTTACCTTTCTTATTAGCTGTGTGGCAACTTTTTCTTCAGGACCACAACGAAGGTAAGTGAAATGTTGGGGAATGTAAATACAAGCAGTGCTCTGTCAGCTTTTGAAAAGATGGAGGAAAAAGGTTATATGCTACCATTTCATTTCTTATCATTTACAATTTTACTTGCTTCTTTGCTTCTGAAAGTGGATGTAATCTGAAATAAAAAAGGTCGATGTACTGTTTTTGTACATTCAACTACTTGTAGGGAGGAATTTGGGCTTACTCTTAGATTGCAGTCGACATTTATGTGGATTCGATGTCAGTAATCCTTTGGTAGCATCAATATGTATTAAAGAAGATTATTTTGTCGGTAGTGCATAATGTTTAAAACTAAATCATCTTAAGATATATCCATAGATATCACACTTCATCTATTCCATGTCTTATAAAACCGACTGCCTTGGGAGCTTCAACAAGATGGACTTGTGTAATTCTCTTCTCGCATTCGTTAAAAACTTGTGAATCTCAGCTTGATTTAAATTTGTCTTCTTGGAAGATCATGCCAACTCTGACATACGCTTCATTTGGCTCATCTTTATGCAAATAAAATACTTCAACATATAGTTTGAACTGTTATATATTGTTTGATCTGCATGAAGTTTCATTCAATAAAATTTCAATTTTATTTTCTCTGTCAATCAGATCAAGCTTAATGACATGCCATGGTAATTTGATTCCACCGTGTTCCACATTCTTTTGGGTGTGAATTCTAGAATTAAACCATGGATTTAGATTGGATGGAATTCATGTGCAAGACAAAACACTTAAATTAGCCAGAGAAGATGAACCTTACATGTTGGTACTATTCAGGTGGCTCAATTTGCCTTGTGCCTTCCCCAAACTCCTTATTTCCCTGTCGTCATGGTGCCTCTAGAGGATTTGTTTGGTACAAGATGCATTTTTATATTTGTGAAGTCACACATTGGAGATCAGTTTGGTGATGAGACTACTTACATGTATCAGCAATGCCTGAAGTTTAACTTTTGAATTTAATTTTGGGCTTGTTGAATTAGAAGCCTCAATATCGATTTTTTTTTTGACCAATTGCTCAAACGACCCATGTAGGTTCCCAAATGGGCCTAAGGTGTGACGGACAGTACTAGACCTGTTCTCAGGTTCTATTAGTATTTATGGATAACAGCAGGATGTCTACTAGCCCAGCCGTCGGCTGTGGAAGTTACGATAATGATATTTTTCAGTATTTTTGACCTTGGATCCGTAGGACCAAGTCAGATTGATTGAGAAATAGAACCATAAAATCAGAAGGATGTATACTAGCACAGCCCTAGGCTGTGGAAGTTAGGATAATGATATTTTTCAGTATTTTTGACCTTGGATCCGTAGGACCAAGTCAGATTGATTGAGAAATAGAACCATAAAATCAGATATCTCACATCATATTTTAGCTATGTAGTTAATCAACTTATAAATATTACAAACCCTAGTTTGACATGAGAATTCCATAATGCTTAAGACATTATCGCCAGCTCCTCCTCTATAGTGTCAGCAAAACGATACAATTTATACTCCCAACAATTTATTCACTCACACCCTTCAGATATTTTTGGTGATGCAATGGAATTTGCATCTGATACAAAACATCAGTCATGATAATTTGTGATAAATGATCACAAAAGTAAATCAAACGATGCAGACAGATGTATAATGACTGATAGAGTTATCATTTTTCTTCCCGACAGTTTTGACAATGGAATCTCAGGCAGATGCTCTTAATCAGCTGGCCGGTGATGAACTTGATGGAAAGGTAGCAATATTCTTAATCATTAAATTTATAATTTTCTTTCATTTCATTACCTTCTCTCTCTCTCTCAATGGGTAAATTTATAACTCATGCACTTCTTTACCTCTACTCCAGCCCATTAACATCCATAAGAGAGAAAAAAGTTATCAGATTAATGGGTTTTCAGTAACACCAAAATTAAGAAACAATTGCAGTCATTTGCATGATGCATTTCAAGAATTGTGTGTTTAGGACTAGATTCAGAACACAGTGCATGAAATAGAATATGCTAAAAAAGTAACGAATAAACTAACCAAAAAATCATATTGTCGCATCAAAAAGAGCTATAAGAAATTATCAGTGATGCAGGTGATAAAATGTTAAAGCACAAGAAAAACAGGAATTGGTGGCCCTTTCAGCATTAAAGTTCATATGAACAAAGAGGTGAAAAAAACAAACAGAATATTATTTGTGCACTCTGGAACTTTTGGCATGTCAGTGGAGAGGGTAATAATTTGCTACATTTCTGCATCTTGTAGTATTATATATTTCTTTCCGGATTATAAATGTTTTCTCAAAACTTCCAAGGTCTTTTGTTTAGATACTGGCTTATTCATTAATTAGCTTGGGGAAATTCTTGTTTAAGTACGGTTGATCAATTATTGTGTTCCATAGTTCTTTTAAGTTGTCCTAGTGGATGCAGGATCTCTAGAAACTATGAGTATAATATAATCTAATGATGAAATAATATTTTCTTGTGATTTTTAACTTTTATGGGTGGGAATCCATTAAAGTTTATGGAAGAACGATTCCTAGAAGGCCTTTAGAGTGATTATATGCAGTTTTCTTTCTGCCTCGGAGAGATTCTAAGGT